CTGACATAGGGGTGAAGCAGGAGAAGGGCGAGAGGGAGGTTGGGCATCGGAGAGGCAGCGACAGTGCGAGGAGACAGAATATTTTCACATGTAACTTGGTTAGACAGCAGAGTTGGTGATTGTTGGAACAGTGGAAAGACTATGGTTTTTGGACTTTGGTTAGTTTTATTTTGTTGAGTTTTATTGAAGCGTGTTTTGCAAGGACCTAACGAGGCAGTTAAGCTGGTATTAATTCAGTAAAAAAAGAAACTTAAATTCAGAAGGTGTTCACCTGTATTTTCCTGTTTACAGAGGAAAATAAATGTTTCTTTCTTGATGTTTTGTAAGTTTATTTTGTTTATTATTTTGTGCAAATATATTGGCGAAAATTATAATACATCGCCCAACTCCACTGGTACTGAGCATAACAGCTATAAGAACAGCAGTCAAATTTCAGATTTAGTCTGATATCTTACTGCCTGGACCACCAATAGAAAGACAGAGGTTAAATAAGGTATCTATCCAGGAAGTTTCCAGGAAAAAAAACTGAACCGCACTGACCTCTGCCCTGTAACTACAGCACTGGTCTCTGCCCTATGTCCGTCCTGTCCTCTGTCCTCTGTCCCTGTCAGCATTAGTCTGATATCTTACTGTCTGGACAACCAATACAAACCCAGAGGTTATTATTTTGATCATATTCACAATCAGCAAATCACAGCTATGTTCCTCAAATTGTTCTGCTTTAAGTTGAAAAGACAAAGAGAGACAGATGAAATAAGTAAGCCAGACAGGAATAGAAATGCAGACAGGTAGCTTCACAGGAGAAGACAAAGGGAGACAAAATGAAAAGGGCAAACAAAAGACAGACAGACAGAGACAGACAGAGAGAGGGGGGTTTGTCGGTAGTATCCAGAGGGCAGGTGGGATCAGCTCAGGTGCAGCAGCTCCATCATTCAGACTCTGTTCACGTCTGGTTTAGAAAAATAACCTGCAGCATCGAGCAGAATCAGAACACACCTAAACTACAACTCCTACTACTACTACTACAATTACTACCACTATTGTTACCTCAGATTAATTATACAGAATATAACTAACAGATACTTTTGTATTTGTATATTACTCACTTCACTAATAATCCAGAAATATGATCTAAAACTGGCCATTTAGCATAATGAGTACTTTTGGTACTTGGTAGTAATATTTGTTGCTAATACTTTTATGACTTGGTTAATTTTTTGGGCTCCTATGTTCAGTCAAAAATATAAACCATTTTTGTAATGCATCTTCCAATTTGCACTGAAAAGAAAAAAATAGGAACAAATCGTCTCTCATTAAAAAGAACAACAATGTCCGTATGTGGTTGCAAGACTTCAGCCAGATTTTCCTTGTTTAAATAAAGAGGTAAACTGGAGTTAAATGAGTAATATGTGTCTATTAGTATCAACCTTTTGATGTCTGTCTGATCAAGATGTTTCACCTTGCTCAGTTGAACTCCCTGAAGACTCCTGCAGTACAAAGACTGCTCCGACCAAATCAAAGGAAGAGATTCTGTCAGATGAGAGGTGAAGACCCATGTGTAGAGCATGACTCAGCAAAAACACGGGGACTTGTTGATTAAGAACTGCTGTGAACCGTCTGCCATGAGCTTGAAGCACTTTTTGGGATTTAGCAGCACCGTTGGGCACTTTTTTTTAATAATCATGCTTTAATTGAAGGTTTCAAAATTAAGTTTGAAATGTCTGTTGCCATATTTAATGACGCAATAACCCCAAATAAAATTTTAAATACCCTCTAAGAAAATCATTCAATTTGAACAAAGTGATTAATCAGATTAGTCTTTTAAGGTAGAATGAGTATGATTGGTTGGTTGCATTGTTGACTGTGGTTGAGGGAACTATGGAGTAAATGAAAAGAGCACCATTAGCAGTGAATCAGAGAAATTAAACTTAATTACATTCTAAATAAACATGGCCACACCTCCCCACAACCCTTTGAGAAAGAGTCACATTGCCAGATTTTGTGTGTAAATATGCAGCTCAACCCTGACATCTTCATCTTTTTTTTCCACAACCTAAAGTTATTCCGTTTACTGTCAGAGGACTAAAGAAAGCAGAAAATATTCACGTTTGGGAAGCTAAACTCAGAAACATTGGACATTTTTGACAACTAATTGATTAAAAGACCTGCGCAGCATTCAAATGTTAAATTAAAATTTAAATGTCAACGTTATGAATGAAGCTTTGAACTACTGGATACAGCCCAAAACTAAATATGAGAGAGCACTGTTAATGAATTTTTAATCTCAAAACTACACTAAACTGTGTTTAATATGCAGCAAAATATAGTTTGGATCTTGAAGATGCAGAACAGGGCCTTACCTATCACTGAACAGCCTGGGAAGAAGATTTATACTCATAAACTTTTGGTTTTTAAGACAATTCCATCATTTTGAGACTAAATATCACTAACAGGATTTAGTATTTATCTGCTAAAATTCATCTCCAGGAAGTTTGGAGCAGCATCTAGAACTCCATGTTGAGAAATATGTGAGAAGACTTTATTTACAGGTCCATAATTTTATAATATGCCCTGGGATTAATACAGTATATACCGAGGAAGTTTCAAGGAAAGAAATATGAAATAAGGTTTTAATTATGCTCAACAATTAGTGTGAAATTATTGAACTTCACTAAAATTTATGAAATAAAGTTAATATTAGTATGATTAATGTTACTATTATATGAATCAAATGGACAGTATAGATCTCTGACCTGTATCTACAGCACTGACATCTGCCCTGTAGCAGTCCTGAGCTCTGTTGCCTAGTATTATTGTCAAATGGACTCAATTACATTTTTATTAACTATGTCTGAAAGTAATATATAATAATAAATAATATAACATTTTTGGACTTTATTAAACTTATGACATAAAGGTATTAATAATTACATTATTGTTACTATTATATGAATTAAATAGACAGTACAGACCTCTGACAGCAGTGATCTATGCCCCTTATCTAACATGTTCAGGCAGCATATAAACAACCAGTTTATAACAAACTATAACATAGTTTTAAGCAGAGATAAGGACATATTTAAGTCACTCACAGCGGGTTGGGCTAAGCAATATGTCTGTTAGCACAACCTTTATAAAGGCTTACAATAGAAGGTAGTTGAACTGAGTGTTCTTATATCTGGCGATTTATATTCAGGTGTAATAAGGCCAGCTGGTAAATGCAGCGTTTTGTGCCGAACAAAACAAAGTCAGCACATTGTTCTCCAGACCTCCTGTACTGTACTGAACGCTCCCTGGAGCCAGAGTCCATTTAGTGCTGAGCTCCCTCTGGTCTATGTCCATTTACTGCTGCTGTCTGCTCTTTTAAAGTCTGCCTCCAGTTGCTTCTATTTCCCTTTCCTTAAATCCCCAGTCCGTTGAATGAAGTCTGGATGATGGAAAAATTATGCACTGACCCATGATGGCGACTACAGTCTTGACAAACCTGGAGGAGACTCTGACAGGCAGCCCAGTCGAATGTCATACTAACAACACACCTAATGTTACATCAACTAACCACCAAATCTAAATTCACTACCCAATAAATCCATGTTACATTCCAGTGGGATACAAAATAACAACAACAATAATTAGTGGTTTCTGAAAGTATTTGACTTAAATAATAATTAATTCTGCAGAGAAGAACTGAGTTAGCATTTTAGCACCTCTGGTTCCGCCTCCTCAAAGTCAATGGGTTTTTGTTTAGATGCCTTAAATAAGGTCTGTGGTTAACACAGGCTTAAGAGCTTTTCAAGTTTTGTTCTACGACATAAAATACTTCAGTAAATACCCTACCTGTAAATTGTAAAGCTTTTAAGTGTTTTAAAAAACTAAAAAAGGAATGAACTAAAAACTGCTCACAAGTGGCTACATGTGACATTAAATGTCAGCACACCAAACACACTTATCTACTCACTAGTTTGTCTTTGTTTTTTATTTATACTTGTGCTCCAGCAAACTAGTCTATTAAATTACAAGATTTAATTAAAAGTTTGAAGTTTATTGTTGGTGACGTTGAAATCCTGTGAGCTTTTTACTTCTGGTGATTGCATTTATGCTTTAAAAATCTTAAAGGTGGTGTTCATTTGTGAAGATTAACTTGCTGAACAAAATGTGTAAGTATCATAAAGCTTTCCAAAATCCTGTTGGCTTTTTGTCAAAGGAACCAGGAAGATGCTAACTTCAGGATTGGTCAAATACATTATCTCTGCGGCTCTCTATAACACATCAGAGCAGACTGGGCTTTTCACAGAGAGGGTGAACAGAAGGGCAGCAATGGCCAGTATAAGAATAATAATGAGATCATTGTTGCAAGCAAATCTATTATAGCAGACCTCTCAAATACAAGCATGAACCTGAAAATGAGCATAATATGAGAAATATATAAATATATAAAAAACTCTTTTAATATATGTGTTGCCCTGTATGGACTTTTTGAGCATGCTGCGGCCGCCAAATATGCAGTCGAAGGGGCAGAAAATAATAATAATAATAATAATAATTCCTTGCATTACAATAGGCCTTGGCCCCCCCCCCCCACTGGTCGGAGGTGCTCGGTCCCTAATTAATATATGTGAAACTCCATGAATCAAAATTTCTATTTTATTTAATTGAGTAATTTTGGAGCATTAGAGGGCAGAAAGATCACTAATGAACTATCGGCGTATAAGTTTGCCTACATCCACATCCAGCAGACACAGAGAAACACGATCATTTATGTATTTAGATTGGTGCGTACGGCCACCCGATGAATGTAGTGTTAAGTTAGTAATATTCACTCTGTTTTCACTCTTTTTTCTCTAATAACTCCTGAGGGAAATATCTGGCTTTTCAGAGCTTGTTTGAATCCAACCTTCGCAGATCAGGGTCTGGGATCCATGATAAAAATCCATATTCATGTCTGTGACATTTAAAAAGAAAAGTTTAACGTCAGACAGCAAGACTTCTGTTTCTGAACTTACAGGCGTAGGTCATGGCGAAGCTGCTCCCCGTGTCCACCATGTCCACTTGTGGCACCAGTTTGGGGACGTCCTGGTGTTGCGCCAGAGCAAAACGAAACACCTCGTACTCATGGGAGCCGGTGGGAAAAAGGCCTCCTGTTTGACAAACACACAGAGACACAGTGGGAATGAGTTCCTCTCCCAAAGCAATGAAATAACTGTTAACAGAAAGGCAGAGTTTTGGTTTAAAGACGGAGCTACTCGTCGGTTTTAGGACAACTATCATTGTATTAATAAACTCAATTCTTGAGCATTAAATGACTGATACAGCACTGTGAGTGTGCACTCTTTAGATGATGCATATTTTAAGAAGTTGAGCAGCGTTTGAAGGCATTATTTATTCCAGAACAGAGTAAAAGTTTCTGCTTCTTTCTACCAGTTTATTTAAGAGTATTTCCTCTTTGTTTTTTGCAAATTGCTTGGGGTACATTTGAGTTTACCGTTGTCACTCAAATTAACGACCATGCTTTGCAGTAATTGTGGTTAAAAGCCTCTTTTCTCATTCGGTCTATTGTCCTGGCACTCACACACTCTCAACATAATAGTTTTGAGGGTCACGGGGGAATTATCTAAACACTTCACCTCGGACTGATTGACCCTCCTGTCTCCTCTGTGCTGAAGTGGAAATTATATATGTATTTATATTACTGCACGGCTGTACAGCGAGTGGTTCTGGTGAAAATGAACTTTTAGTGTCTTTTTGTACAGAAGCTGTAAATGAATCTTTGTTCTCACAAAGAATTAGACATCATTTTGTTAAAGCTAATGCAATCGGGCCCTCTTACTGTGCACGGTGCGGTCCGGTTATGCACTAGCGTCTTGTGTAAAGAATGCTCCGGGTGGGACTGTTATCAAACGTAATGTGGTGCAGATTGGACAAAGTACACTGAAGTTATGACAACTTCCTGTTTCATGGCGAAACGTTGAAAATCAATGCAACGCCACAGACACGCCATTTGCCCCGCCACTATCACAAATAGCACAACATTTGACCGTGAACGTGTTTTGATTGCATCCATTGATTGTTTTGATCAGTTCTTATGAAAATACAACCACCAAAAATGACCACTAAATTCAAAATGGCTGACTTCCTGTTGGGTTTGGGGTATGGGTCCAAGAGGCTTTTTGTGTGTCTCGTCATAATACATGAGCACACTAATTTTCATACATATCAGTAAAACGTGCCTTAGGGGGCTGCGTTTAGGAGGCAGGAGAAATAATGTTACACACTCATGAAAATAATAATAAATATATAATTCCTTGGGTATGTTAATGCAGTCGTAATGTGAGTGTATCCATAAATATTTGCCTCTGAGATGTTGTGGAGTAGAAGTGAAGTAGGAAGGGATGTATCCATAATAACTGTGATATCTAAAAGTTAAATATTTATATTGTGTTAATAATACACACATCATCCAGCACCTCCGAAATCATTTATTTCCATTCTTGTGTATACTCAGACATAGTGGCCGTAATTCATTTGGCAAAAATGTTACAACAGGTGAAAACACAAACGTAGGACCCAAACGCAGAACACAAGACAGGATCTTGATACAAAAATACACAGACTTTACTTGCCAGAGAACATGTTCGGTACACAGGAGGTCAATCCAGACAAACAAACAAACAAACAAACAAAGCCAGTGAAAAAGTCCAAAACCCAGGGTAGCACAACAGAACAAAAACAGGCTTCACATGGAGGAACAACTACAAACTGGCAACGAGGGGAAGTGACACAGGGAATATACACACCCCACAGGTGATTACACACAGGTGCAGATAATCAGGGCGGAGCAAACAATTACAAACAGCGGGAAAACACAAAGGCAGGAAGTGAACCGCAATGGTGTTTCTGAATCTCACTGACAGCACTAACATTTCTATTATTTCAAAATATTCTACAGATATCGCGATAATATCGTTAGCGTGAGTTCTTTTGGCCACAATGGTCGTGTTGTAAAAAATCCAATACTCAAGTACCTCAAACGCTGCATTAAAGTGACCAGAAATACAACACAGAAGTCCCAGAAGTGACAGATTAATTAAAATAAAATGAGGTGATACTTTTGTAAGTCAAGTCCTTTTTATTTATACAGCCCACAAATTGCCTCAAAGGGCTTTACAGTCTGCACAACATATGTCGGCTTCTGTTCTTAAACCGCCAGTTTGGATGAGAAAAACCCTTTAATGTGGGTTAAAGAACATCAGAGGAGGACAGACCAGATCCACAAACATCATATACACAAATTATGATGATAAAAATACAAATAAATGTAGATTATAAAACATGTGAAGAGTTAAAACTGGTAATTAATCATTTGAGTGTGATGATGATTATTTACAGTAAAATGCAGTTTATATTTGATCTAAAGCAAACTCTACAATATAAAGATACCTATAGGAATATTATTGGAATAGAATATGATTTATTCATCAGAGCTATAAAGGCTGGAAGCGGTCCATCTGCTCTGACAGAAGGGCTCCCTGATTCAATAAATACATGCAGAGGAAACCAACGTAACTGATTTTCAATGCTCAGGCTCACTGGTTGGTATGCGGGCTGCAGTAATGCAGGTTAGCTGAACTTGATGCCACATCAGCACCAAATCCTGAGAGGAGAGTGCAGCAGGAGTCTGGCCCCCGACGGATGAATCACATTAGAACTTCATATTGGGAGAGTGACACGCTCGGCAGCCCCCCCAGCTGACTGATCCACGCTGAAACCAGCCGAGGTTCAAATGGGAATAAAAGATCTGCTGGAGGATTCATCCAGCGTACCAGTGTGAGATCATTGATACTGAACACAGCAGATAGAATTGATCGATTGCTTTAAGTGAGTGTGTGAAGAATCATCATATATGTTAAATATTCTAATTAAACAGGTCACACTGTTGGATTTATATAATAATATGTCCTGTTATAAACAGTACAGTGTTCAGAATCAGAATCAGAA